GAAGGAAAGAGAGGTCACTGAAGGAGTAAGTGGCAGAATGTTCTCCTCTCCTTATGTCTCCACTTCGCCTGAATTCCCAGGAGCATGGCAGCAAAAGAGCCACAGGTGGAGATTATTCTTGTGCCAGGCCTCCTGCAGGAAGGGCCTTCAATGCCAGGGATGGTGCAGCTCATTTCAGGCAGAGACCAATTGCTCTCCATGCTGTCTACGCTCCAGACAAACTGGGATGTTCTTTTTCCCAAACGTGCCCAGTAGCACAGTACAGAGAAAAGAGCATGGATTTTAGAGATAACCAGTTCTGGGTTCAAGGCCAGGTTCTGATACTTACTAGCTGTGTGATCTTGGGCAAGTTATTTAATCTCCTTGAACTTCTGTTTTCCATCTGTATACATGGAGATAACAACATCTATCTTTAAAGCTTATTTGTTTTTTGGTGGTACTGGGTGTTGAACCTAGAGCTTCATACATGCCAGACCAGTGTTTTATCACTGAACTATATCTCCAGCCCTTTTTAAATTTTGAGACAGGGTCTCATTAAGTACCTCAGGCTGGCTTGGAACTTGTGATCCTCTTTCCTCAGCCTCCAGAGTAGCTGGGATTATAGGCATAGCTCTGTAAGAATTTTGCAAAGGGGTCTTGAGATAATATGAATAGAAGCTGCTAGCAAATTCTTGGTACAGAGTAGATGCTCCTTGAACACTAGTTTCCTCCTTCTCTGCCCCTCTGTTCATTCACTCCACCTGTTGAAGCTCTGCAGCCACCTGCCCAACTCCAGTGGTACTTCTTCCATCAGTCTTTCCTCTGGCTCTGTCAACTTGCAGAGATCTCTCCCTCTCTGGTACACTAAAGCACGATGGATTGCTCAAAGGGAACCTAGGGTACACTTATATATAGTACACCTTCCACTATAGGTATTGGTGTTTGACTTTAATAGGTATGTAATAAATATTTACAGAAAGAAGCAAAGGTGTATTAATGTGAGCTTTAGGAGGGAACAAGTTTTTCATTCCAATTTCTTTGTGAGATCTGAAGGCTCTCTGGAAGAAGCTGGAGGACTTGCTAATGACTTTTAATTAGATTTTGGTGTGGGGGACCAGGCAGACCAAAGATGTCCTTGAATAGTTCATCTGGAGAGAACTGCTATCAGTGAAACTTTTGAGTTTGGAGGAGTCAGTGATGACTTGGACTGGACTGAGGGTTAAGGAAGGTTCCATTAATTGGGATGTTACCATAGAGTGTTTATGTCCCTGGAAACCAGAATCTGATGATGAATTGAGTCAAAGCTGAGAGCAGGGCTGGGGATAGGGCTCAGTTGGTA